TATATATATATATATAATTATAAATACAATTTCTGAAACTCAGACTGTTAAACTGCTATATCAGGACTCTATTATGCCGCCATCTCAATATAATTAGTTAATTGATATTATTTGCGCCATGTAGCCATTTTGGCATAGATATGTTTTATTCTCATTATTACTTTTGCTAATGGGAGAGAACATAGACCCCGAAGAGAATATTTGCCTATGATTTGCTTATGATGCCATTAAGGTGCATGCAATAATGGTTGACAAAAGATGTCAACTAAATAAAACTACATGCACAATTCTGGTTTAAGGGTTTGTTTTCTCTGGTTTATTTATTTATTTATTTTATTTTTTAGTTTAAAATAGATATATTTATTTTTTATATTTATCCTTTTCAATTATTTTTAGTTTCAATAATTTTTTATATTTGCCTTTTAGCTTACATTACATGGCTTCTTTGTTTTTTTTAATCTTTTAATGTTTCAGTTTTTAATTTTTGACTTGGTCAATGAGTGATTCCTACACTTCACTAACAAGTAGTTACTTATCTAAGATTGCTAAAATCTTGGTAACACGTCAGTTTTTCTGATCTAGTTGAAAGATTATAAATGTGTTGTTGATGAATAAAATAATTTACTACTCATCCAAATTCTTATGTGTATTATAACTTCTCTATTTTTTTTTTCTATAAAACTTACAATTGGTATCAAGAGCTATCTTCTTACAGGACATGTAAAAGAAAAATGAAAATTGAAATAGGCTTTTCACAGTTGCTCTACCCATCTTTGTTGGAGAGTTGCTCTACCCATCTTTGTTGGAGAAAGCTATGAACTTTGAGTTGTGATGATGGAGTCCTACTTGGAAGCTATAGATCTATGGGATGTTGTGGAAGAGGATTATCAAGTGACTCCACTGCCTAATAATCCTACTCTTGTCCAAATTAGACGTCACAAGGAAAGAAAAACAAAGAAAGCAAAGGCGAAATTGAGTTTATTTGTTGGTGTTTCACAAACCATTTTAACTCGAATTATGACCCTCAAAACACCAAAGGAAATATGAGACCTTTTAAAGGAAGAGTATGTTGGTGATGAATGAATTCGAGGTATGCAAGTTTTGAATTTGATGAGGGAATTTGGGTTTCAAAAAAAATGAAAGAATTTGAGATAATCATTGGTTACTTAGACAGATTACTAAGCATTACTAACAAGGTTAGATTGTTGGGTATTACATTTGCTGATTCCATAATTGTCAAAAAATTTCTGGTTACAATGCCTGAAAGGTATGAAGCATATCAATAATTGCCTTGGAAAATACAAAAGATTTGTCCAAGATCACTTTGGGAGAAGTGCTACATGCCTTTAAAGCATAGAAGCATCACAAGCTTTTATGAGGCAAGATTATATGGTTGAAGGAGCATTACCAGCCAAGCATAATGAAGTTGGAACTACTACAAACAACCAAAGTAAGGGTAAGGGTAAAAGAAAAAATTACCCACCTTGTCAACATTGTGGAAAAATGGGTCACCCACCATTCAAATGTTAGAGAAGACCGTATGCAAAGTATAGAAAATTTAATTAGTTTGGATAGGAAGTTGTGATTTGCAAAGGATAATTTCAATAACAAGAAGTTAATGCCCAAGTTGTTGAGGAAGATGAAAAAGATTGGATTTTTGTAGCAATGTGTTCTTTAGTTATGAGTAACTCTGAACGTTAGTTGATTGTTAATGATTGTACAAACCACATGACATATGACAAAACTCTTTTCAAGGATATGAACCCTACTAAAGTCTCAAAAGTCAAAATTGGGAATGGTGGTTATATTTCTATGAAAGGAAAAGGAACCATTGTAATTTCAACAAACTCAGGTACAAAAACAACCTTAGATGTTTAATATATACCTGATATCGATCAAAATTTGCTGAGCTCGAGTCAATTGATTGAAAAAGGATTTGTAAGACCAAAAAGAAGTTTGTAGAATCAAAAGATGATCTTGAATCCCTTGAGTAGCTATGAGATTTTATGATAACAAACAAACTTTCTCAAGAGACTATATCAGACAAAGAAAATGTCGTATTTTGTCCATAATGTGAAGTTCACTTGACGAAGTGTATCATCTGGATTAATGCCACATTTAGTTCTTGTTAAAATAACATAATAGTCTTTAAGAAGCATTAACTCTTTATTCGTTAATAGATCAAATGAAAAAAAGCTTCCTCAAAGATAACAAAATCTTTCAAAAGGAAATGTCAAATCATTGCGTCAGGAAAGAAAGAGAAAAATCCCATCCTAGATTTCAGGAAAAGACACTTCAAGGACTGTTCTGGGCCAACCTCAACTACTCTACTCTAACAATACCTCTGCTACGCTTAAAATAAAAGGAAATGATGATAAGTAGCTGTTTGAATCAGATAAGAGATACGCATTTCACTAATAAGCATTTAACGCTCATATTAAATGCATCAACGATAATCTCTAGGATTAACAAGGAAGACAAATGAATTAACTTGTGAAGAAATTTGAACATTTGAATCCAACATTGTTGTAACGATCATTTTCTTTGAAGCTACTATATAAGGGCCAAGCCTTCAAACAACAAAACATAGACATCACAAATAAAAGAGAGAAATGTTGTAAATAGAGAAAATCATCACTGAGAAGCATATTGAACTTACAAAGTTAAAGTACTACAAAGAAACCTTTTCATTAAAATTCTTGTATATAGATCTTTGTAGCCTATTTATGTTGTATTTTAATAGCATTACATCTAGAAGAGACAAAATAATCATTATAACTTTTATCAAATTTATTTGCAAGGGATAAGCGTGGAAAGGCTTGTGCATAAGAATACTTAATGTTGAGTCTAAAGAGGTTTGTTCAAAAAGAATACTTGGGTTTGAGCCTAGAGAGACTAGTTGAAAGAATACTTGGGATTGAGTCTGGAGAGGCTTGTTGACTTGGGATTACGCTTAGAGAGGCTTGTTTAAAGAATACTTGATGTTGAGCCAGAAGTGACTTGTGAAAGAATACTTGTATCTTGTACAAGATAGTAGAACTCAATCTGGTTGGATTAAGAATTGGATGAAGTCTTTGTTTTTAAAACAAACCCGTATAAAAAACTCATGCCACTTCATCCGTTGATTTCCAGTACTTCATCTGTCACAACTCCTACTACTTCATTGCAAAAGCGCGATTTTTTGATATACACTATTTAACCCTCCTTCTAGTGTGTATCTTTTTCTCCAGCAAGATTTAAAGTATCTTTTCAAAATAAACATTGTCTTATCTTTGACACCATTGGTCGGGAGATTCTACAGGTTAAAATGAGATGTAAAAGCTTCTCATTTGATCCAATTGAGGAGGAGCAAGTCGTCTATTTCACTTAAGTCAATCCCACATAACTTTGGCATAAGAAGCTCGATCATTACCATATTCAAAGAATGTTGAGCATGAAGAAGAAAGACTTACTAGAGGTATACCTATACTTCATAATAATTTTCCAAATTGTACTACTTGTCAATTTGGGAAACAAAATAGAATGCCATTTCCTAAATTAGCTTGGAGAGCCTTTAGATAATTGCAACTAATTCACACCGATGTGGCAGGACCTCAAAGAACACCATCAATACAAGATAGTCTATATGTTGTTCTTTACATAGATGATTTTTGAAGAATATGTTGGATTTATTTCTTGAAATTTAAGAATGAGGTAGCCGGAGTATTTAAAAGGTTCAAAAACATGGTAGAAACTCAAAGTGGCTACAAGATTCAATATCTAAGATCTAATAATGAGAAGGAGTATACCTCACACAATTTAATTTATTTTGTGAACAAGCGGGCATTGAACATCAACTCACAACTTCGTACACTTTAGAGAAAAATGGAGTTAGTGAAAGAATAAATAGATCAATAATGGAGATGGTGAGATATATGTTGCATGAGAAGGATTTGACTAAACAATTTTGGGCAGAAGTAGCTAACATAACTGTTTTTCTTCAAAATCCTCTTCCAACTAAGGCCTTAAAAGATAAAACTCCTTTTGAGGCTTGGTATGGGTATAAGTCTTCACTAACCTTTCTTAAAGTGTTTGGTTGTGTTTGTTTTGCACATGTTCCATAAGTTAAGTGTGACAAATTTGATGAGAAAGCAATTTCAAGTATTTTTGTGGGCTACAGTTTAGTTTCAAAAGCTTATAAAGTGTATCATCCTCAAAATGGAAAGATGATTGTCACTACATGTGCATTTCAATAAAGATTAGCAATGGGACTAGAACAATACACAGATAACAATTGGATCCTTCAACAATATTAAAGATGATCAACTTGGGAAACAAATGAGAGAGTTGTGTCAAAATGAGTTAGAAGATGAGCTTTCAATTAGAGACAAAAGGCTATTATCAAACGTTTATCAAAGATGTAATGTAGCAAT